AAGGCGGAAGAGACATCGTACCTTTACCACATTACCTTTGACATTGCCTCCTCAGAAAACGCACGCGCATCAAATGAAGTTAAAGGACGAATTCACGATGAAAAAGCAACCCATTTCAAATTAACCTAGGGATGGTGAGTGGTACACGAAAGAAGGAAGAACCATGAGAAACGGCCCAGAACCCGAGAAATGGTACCCCTTCCTTGCCCGTTGATTCGAGCATTGATGCGACTCTCATCGCTGTGCCCTCTTCAACACTACGCTCTCTCAGCTATCTAATCACTCGCCACGTATTGAACTACGGCGAGTGATCAGATGATCGGTGGGCGGAGATCGCCGGACCCGCCAGCTTTGAGGCATGATAGGTCGCCGAGGTCAAATTTTTCCATGCGAATTGCGCGTCAGTTCGCACCCTCAGGAGGTCCGTGGGTCCCTCAACTAGGTCAGTTTCCCTTTCTTCGACCCTTCATTCTAATCGTGAATTCCTCCTTTAAGTGCATCAAAAATGGGTGACTACAATTTTTGAATATTAATTAAATGGCAAACCCATTGAATAGGAAGAATGGGGGGAAGTACCAAAGATGGAGGACAGACATGACACCGCCTTTACGGAAATGAGGATAACCTATCAACTTCCATATCGGGAGTCAGATACTTTGTTGACAAGCTACGTTAAGCGCTTCAGAATGCGTTGCAGCTAAAGATTAATACGCGACAGGGAGTTGTTCCGAAATAGTGGAATAAGTTAAAGTGCTTAGCTTTCATCAATTCCTTTTTGGGAGGCGCCATGCATCCTGCTTCCGTCCAGAATCTTGGGACTGTATGCAAAATGCCTTGCACGGGCCAGTTGGTATATAAGACAGCATTTTATCCTTTCAGACAGTCTGATACCAATTAAGTCGTTGTGGGTCGTTGTCTCCCCACATCCCACGCCGGCTCGGCTGCACTCAGCCTGGGTGAGGTGACAACTGATAAAAATTTTTTCGAAAATTTCTGGGAATTCAACTCAACTATGCAAACACCTTGGCTCGTATTCGGAACAGGATCCTATTTGGCATTGATTTTACTGGTAGGTGCACCGTGTCACATAAGCTGCCCATCACCTTCGATTACCAATTGGATTTCTTCCGGGACCTCCAATATATCGTGGCTACCACCTTCAAACGAAGTGGGTGCGATGATCGTGAGGCAGAGCAGTTTTTCTGACGTCATTAAGCGCTGTAGGTAATAGGGGAAGCGATCCCGATCACAACCCCAGCGCGCGAAGAAATTCGGTCCACCAATGACGTCAGCGCAATCGCTTCGCCTCTCAATCGCCGCAGCCACTGCCTTTAAGTTTATTGTTGGGCTCCGTCGTTTACTGCAATATACTCAACAAAATCCAAGAAAAAAATCAAAAAAGTTCCTACTTGCACTTGGCAACATTTCGAGGCTCATGCTTCGTATTCCTTAGCCTCTGCCTCAACTCAGCACGGCTATAGGGCCCCCATCCGCCCAACACAGCTATACCTGCCCCCTTCATCTTTGAGAAAACAACAAAGCTTAGCAAAAAATGGGTTTCGAATATTTATTTTTAATTCAAGTAAGGCCTTAGCCGTCGTTCATCCACTTGAAGGAGGCGAAGACACTGCGCAGGACGGCTGTCCACAAGCTGTTTGCCACTTGTCGATTGCAAACTTCCTTACCAAGCTCTCGAATTTTCCAAATGGAACCCAGCCGTCCTTGTTGGAGATGTTCGCCAGATCAGCAGTGTATTTTGCCTGCAATCGGATATTAATCCCCAGCTCAAAGCCTGTTGACGACTCTTTGAGCTCACCTTGTAGATAATATGCTTATCGATCGGATCAGGATCATGATTGAGGATACGAATACTTGGCTCGGGCTTGTTTCTGCAATTAACAATTTCATGATCACACACCTAGGATTAAAAGAACACATACTTAAATTCGATGACAAAGCCGGCGGACGTCGTCAGTTCGCCCTTCTCGACTCCCATCAGCTTCATCACTGCTAGCGTGACTTCAGTGTGCTGCAAAGAAAGTTTTAGGGGGTAAATTCAAAAGGAAAGCGTTTTGTCTCTTTTGCAAGAGTACTAAAGCGCGTCCTTACAGTACACACCGCTCCCTTGCCTTTATGATGTGACATCAAGCTCGCCCTCGCCTTTAAGTTCTCTTTAGTTGTTGAAGAATAAAGCGTTTTCTGCAGTCATGACGCGGTCTATACGTGCAACCCCACCCCTACTTGACCTTTACGCACGTTGGGAAACACTGCCAGGGTTCCAGCGTAAAAAAGAAGCGTTTTTTTTGCGCAAGTATAAACCCGCGTCCGTATGGACAGGCCTTCGACACTTTATGTACGTGACCCCCCAGAAGTTCCGGAGTTCAAAACAATGAATAATCGTTTTGATCTATTTCTTTGGTGATATCAGTACAGGATTCGTTAATCAGTACCGAAGCATACCCGATGACGCTGGGAGCCGTTCACCCCTTGAAATAGCGCTGTTGAGAGTCGCGCATTTGCTTCAGCCCCCATACACCCCTCCCATATATAGTGCGCACCTCAAGGCATATTTCAGACAGCGAGGCGTATTTGCAGCTTCTCTCCTGAAATAGAATTGTCTATTGATAAATCTACGAAACACTTGACCGAACAGATTCTTCCGAAATACATCGGACTTTCAGGCACATGGTTCCTCCATTGCTGATCAGTAAGGTGTAAGAATGTATGCCACCTGGAAGTAAATTATAGAATCAAATAAATTGGTTCTATTCCCCAGCACTCAAGCACTCTGTATTTCAGTGGCCACCAAAGGAAACTTCTGGGGATCACCCATGTTTGCACAGCCTTTTCTAAAGTTAGCACCGTTGTATCCGCGTAGGCGTGGTTTGCGCATCCAGGAAGGATAAGGAGATTTGTACAGATCCTAGATGGAAACGTATTGGAATAATGACTACCTTGGTAGAAAAAATACCCAACTTACCATCTCAATGATATTATCAGCCAGATCCGCTGTCGCTGAGCTGAATGTAGGAACTTTGGATAGGCCTCCAGTGATTCTTTGCGGGCTATCAGTAGTTTCAACCAATGCCTAAACCGTGATATTATTATGTGTAATATTGATCTTGTTGTTGTTAAGTCCGCCCTATTGGCATCCTGCGTCTCCTTCAGTCATTCGGTGGCAAATCGATGCAAAGGGATGGCGCAAACCACTTAAAGCACCCGGTCGCGATTCCAGAGTTGTGCTCCATTTCGCCTCAAAGGAAAAGAGTCAGAATAATGGAAAGCCCAATGATTCGAAACCGCCCGTGAAGCTAAGAAAAGCAATGGATCATCAAAGCACTAAAATTCAAATGCCCTACTTCTTAGAGAGTGCCGACTGCTCGACCACTGGTGCGGGTAGAGCGCATGCGAGGAGATGAACGAACACGAAACGAGCGTGTGTTACAAGGCTACCAAATACGCTCCCAACTGATACGGATAGCGGCGGAGCTTTGAAGAAGGGACGAGCATCCCTGAGGCGACCCTTTCAGCTGCGCGACACGTGCACTTTTCTTGTTGAAATGATGCTTCGAAAGTCGTGCTTACGTGATACACACTCAAAGGACTCTTTAAAGGTGATCAGACGATGCTTTTTTGAAAAGAAATTGCCTTTACTGTCTTAGTCCTTCCAATTCCCATTCGTGAATTCCTATCTAGCATCAGTTTCGTCGAATCGCCATTGTGTAAGCGGTGATGTGAACAAAGAAACACGCCAACATAATCCTTGTTTTCGTAGCAAAATAACGCATACTTCAAGCCCGGCCAAGCTGTCATCCGGATATTGTTTCCCTGCTAAAAAGTAAAGCAAAGAAGCCCACGCTGACCTAACGTGCTACGATTGGAAGTCTTCACCTTTGAAAGGTCTGACCGTCCCATTAAAATCTTTCGTAAATGCGCATTTGTCCGCGAAATCCTCGCTAAAGAAGTTTCAAAAAAAAACTCAAATATTCTTTCGCTTAGCATCTCTCCCGTTGATCGTGCTCTAGAAAAGGGGAGACCTAGGCGGAATTGGAAACTGGCTGTATCACAAAAATAACACAGGTCAGACACGTCCGTGCGAGCCTGATTCGAACGAAAGGGGTCGCATTTTGGTCGGAAGGGGGTCGCAATTTCGAGGACTGCCAGCCACAGGCGCGTGCGTGGCGTATCCGAGGGCAAGAATTGTTTGTGCAGACCGCATTAGATTCGATTAATTATGCACAGAGAGACAGTTTTAGGCAAATTACGGTGTTTTCCTTGAGGAATAGAGAACAGTTGAATGCATCCCTATGAAAGGTTTGACTTCTCGGGGCTGAAATTAAAGTTCTTCGGGACCTGATTTTCTTCCAGACAACGGTAAACGACACATAAGAAAGCAGAAATCTCGTAGTCTTCAAAAATGTCTTTGGCCCCTCCCCAACAATTTTCTTTGCCATAATTTGAAGTTATATCAAACTTGCTCGAAGCTGAAAAACTCCGAAAAATAATGTTGAACTCAAACGCTATGGGATAAGCAGAATCACCTCGTCGAACGTGTGATTTTCTCGGAAAATGGATTTTGAAAAACGGTTTGGTGCTTGTTAGAAAGAGCAAATCCTGTACTTTCACCCCATGAAAAAGTGCATCACAGAAATGAAAATGAAGTGAGTTATGCCCGCTTAAAGCCCAAAAACTCGCGATTTCAAAAAAAGTGTTCGGCAAAACCCCCCAAAATGTTCGAACGTGTGATTTTCTCGAAAAATGAACTTTGAAAAACGGTTTGGGGCTTGTTAGAAAGAGCAAATCCTGTACTTTCACCCCATGAAAAAAGTGCATCACAGAAATGAAAATGAAGTGAGTTATGGTCGCTGAAAGCCCAAAAACTCGCTTTTGCACGAAAAATGTTCGAACGGGACAATTTTTTGAAAAAGGGGACAATCACTAAACTTTTTATACTATTTTGTTAGAGAAATATTTGAAGTTTCTGAAACTTTTTACAGATTTCCAAAATGTCGCATACGAAAGATTTTATGGGCCTTCAAAGTTGAAGGTGCGCCTTCTTAGAATTTTGGGTTTTCCACTTCTAACAGAAGTACTTTCCGGAGAGTTAGGCAATCCTTGTAGTTTTCTGGAAGCGCACCTCAGGCACAATCAAAATCTACCTCAACAAGTCAAAAAATACGTCCCAAGAAAGTTATTCCCCTCTAAAATTTTTTCTTCGCCGCGTCCCGTTCTTCCAGCGCCCGGGTGATACCTGCCGCGCTCCAAGGCCGACGCGACGACGCGCAGACGCTTTCTGGCGCAACGGATTCATGTCTAGCACTCTTATTAACAAAAACAGGGGGTCGCAACTGGACCCCCTCGAGAGCTAGGGGGTCGCAAAAATCCCGAAAATGTTCGAACGTGACGGTTGACCCTGATCCAACTTGCCACCTTACCGATGAGCGCCTGGCAGTTGTCACAATGCGGTTTCAAGCAATGCAGGACGATGACGTCTTCCTATTGTACTAAGAACCGTCCCGCCCAGACTCGACCTTTTGAACGATGATTTAGAGTGTCGAGTGTTATCAGCGCTAATTGGTGAAGCTGTTGCTCACAAATGGTTGGCAAATGTTATGTGATTTCGGATTTGCTCTTATTCAAGAACCTATCTTACTTATATATACATCATCATCCGCATATTTGCTCCGTGAGTAGAAATCTCCTTTGTTGTTTGTTGATAAGGATATACAAAACGATAAACGGCAAGCAGTCGATGCTGCGCTCGAAGCTTTTAAATTCCAATAAGGAGGTGGCAAGCGGTATGCTATACCTTTAGGTAGGTAAAGATTACCCCATAGTATATTCATGTACAACATTCTGTGTTAATTGTCAGAAAAATAAACTATTGATAATGCGGGCCACATGTAAGTCAATTACCAAAAAGCGACCAGAAATCAGTTCGTGGTACATCATGCGTGCAAAATAACCACCTGCGCATCTATCAAGCCGTCATGGCAAAAGAAGCGGCTCGCGTTTTCAGTATATTAAGCTAAAGGAAGCTCGCAGTCATTCACACTGTTAGTGCGAAGCACTTTGTCCACACCCCAGTTTGTTCGTCCAGCATTCAAAGAGACATATTCTATGAACCATCAAGCGCGTTATCTAAAAACCGAAATTCCAGCCTTGAGAAAGACGAAATGTGGCTTACGGCGCTCTTGGTCTGACCTCGGACCAGTCTTTTCCCCCGAGTACATTCTCATGTCAGGTTAGGATGCGTCAATTGTGTACTGTACAGGGCTCCAAAAGTCGAACTGCGATTTCTGCCAATCTGCCCAGTTCGTGGGAGTGTAGAAACCGGCCAAGGCTACCTAAAGCTACTGCTGGTTGCTCCCGCTGAATCGTGATCACAACAGGGACGCACGCGGTCGCGTTGCGGTGCAAGTATCAGTTGACGATCGACTTGTTTTGAATTTATTCACTTCTTCTATTGACACTTCAATTTTGTTCTTCTTATTAAGTACTCTCCCTGAATACCAGTTCCACCAATTGCATTGCAACCGATTCAACCGCTACGCGACCGCAACGCGACAGTGTCCGCAACTGAACGGTGTGCCCCAGGCAGAAAAACATAGAAACAAAGTGAATAAAAGGAAGAGACAATAAAATCAAGCACCTGCAATGTCATCTGACATCTGTTGGCGGAGCTCGAGTAATACTTAGCCTGGTTAGGAAGATAGTTCCCATCAACCAAATCACCTACGAATCGTCGCAGTTCACGGCCCAAACCCAGCGCCTGTCGTTTACCGAACTGAAAGCACACAAATCATATGAGGGGCCAACTGGAATTATTGATTCTTTTGGATGCACCTACCGAAGTGAGTTCAGTGTTCCCTTCGAATCCCCATCGTGATGGATTCATTTTCAGAATCCGTTCCGGATTTCGATTTCCATGTCGTGTACCCCACAGCACCAATTTTGTATGCGGATCTGTTTTCAGGAATTTTTAGAAAAATTGGTTTTTCACTGTTTCTATTTTTTTGTTTATTATTTTTATAGAATATTTTTTTTTGAAAAAAAAAGTTTTTGAGTGTTCAAACGCTCATAATTCGACCTCATAACCAATCAATAGTACATAATATTTACAATATTCAGGAGGCAAGAGTTCGCAAAATCAGCTGAAGCTGTCCACATGTACAACCTTCACCCCCTCCAAATCTTCTCTTTAGCTTTTATATGACCTCAGACACCATGGTAATCTCAAGTTGTTGTGGCAGCCGCAGCGCGACCGCCCGCTTAACAATTTGCTCCGCCCACTACACAGTAATATTTTAAGCTTAAAGCTAGAATTGTGATAAAATAACAGCAAACTATGGCTCACCTCTGTTGACCGATTGACGTCCTTTTGTTTCTCCAGCGACAAGCAACACATAAGTCCATAATAGTATGATCCCTGAAAGAAACTTACTATATAAAACTAAATCAGACATCTACATCTCGTAGGGAGCGACTAACTAGATTTGTTTAGAGATAACAAAAACAAAAAACAAAGCAAAAAACCCATATGAAACCTTAATAATTATTAGTTGATCATTAGGCTGCCTGGTTATTACACTGAATCAAGAGGTGAGCAGAACCAGCCCTTTTGGCGTTTCTGCTGGGGCCGTATACTGAATGTTGGAGGGGGTTGGGGTCCCCGACGGTGGACGGATTACTTCAACTCGGTCGGTACGGTAGGAGAGTAATGACGCAAGTGGTGCAGCTGGTCCAGCAGCTCCGGCCAAAAGGGCCTTGGGTCTTTCTTACACCCAGGACTAAGCCTTGAAGAGAGGGCGGACCTGCACCGCCCGTCCTCTCTTTAAGGCTTAGTCCTGAGGTAAGCATCAAATTGAGGCGTTTCAAAGACCGAGTTGAAGTAGTCCGTCGACCGTCGGGGACCCCATCCCCTCCCCAACATTCAGCATACGGCCCCAGCAGAAACGCCAAAAGGGCTGGTTTGCTTACGTCCCCTAATATTGGCTTCGCAACTCTAGGGCAACATCGGTAAAGGAAGCTACTCTGGAGAATTGATTATGACCTTTCGCGACGAAAAGGCCCACTTTAGCAGCCCTGAGAAAGTCCAACTTGTCCCATATATACAGCAGGTGTGCCGGATAAAATTTCTAATTAACTCGAGTAAGTAACAGATTCGTCAAAAAAGTCTACTCATCAGTAATCGAACGGAATCAGGCTTTCCAGAACCTCAAACGGATCAAGAATCTATGACGGAAGCATTCTCATGGCTACACGGTCTTGTCCCTTTTAAACTATTAGAACAACAATCGCGTTTCATTGTATGTGGTCGCCAAAGACGCTATGACTTAGCCGCACAGGACAATCAAAGGAATACAGCGCCAAAAATTGGCCTTTTTTCTGATATACTCCAGAATTCACGGGAGGTCGTCCCATGGCATATCCTTCCATCTATTTTAGCAGTCATGTAAAACAAAGCATTTAGCCTAGGCGGAAACTCATGATAGGCCGAGTGTTCGATGTATTCTGTTCGCAGCACAGGTTGATATATCAACCTTGAATTGACGTAGCCTGCCCGCGCTTCGACCGCTTTGTTTTTTCGGTAGCCTCAGGATAGTTCAAGGGAGCCTATCAAACAGACCCGCTACTACTGCCTCTATGTGTTTTCCCGGAACGCACGTGTGTGTGGAAATAATCTCGGATTCCCGAAAAAAAAATTACAGTACAGAACTCACCATAAGGTTCGACAGTATTTGCAGAGCATGTAGCCTGCGCCCTGTTAGTAATTGTTGAGAAGAGCAAGTGGATTCAGCAGACTTTAAGATGGTTTCATATATGTATGTTCGGAAATTTCCATGAAGCACGATAGCTCATCGTATAAATTGGTCTCTCTGATTAGCAATGCAGAGGCTTCTGGTAACCAGCAACCGAAAACAACTATTTCAGCCACCTATTCAGTCAGGACGAGCTGGAACTTTGATCAACAGCCGCCTCACAGTGGCGCTAATGTACCAGGATATACGATCAAGTGGTCCAGCTCAGAACGCAAGAGTCGGTCGCATTTTGCACAAAGGGTGGGTTTGGTCATACATAGGTTGCAGATATGTGTATGCCATCACGAATATTATTTGACCCAGCCTCCTAAGTCCTATCTTCATAAATCCGTTCCGTTAAAGGACATCAGTATGCTTTTTTTTCAAACAACATTTCAGAATAGCAGAATACAACTCACATTTCACAAGAACGCTGGGTTATGAATAAAACTTGGCCTAGGCGGAACTCGAACCCGCACCTCCTTAGGGCCCCCCTCGCTCACCACTTGAGCGAATGTTCATAACCCAGCATTCTCCACTTGATAATTCGCACAGGCTGTGGCCAAAAACAGCAGTTAAGAATCGAAAAAAAAAGTTGCAAATAAAGGCTTCCGCTCAACAATAGCAGTAAAAATAAACCATCAACAATTAGCACTAACTGTTTTTGAGTATTAACAATTCTTAAGATTGCGAGTTTCGGATTGCAAATTCCTTTTCTCCACCTATGGTGATCATTGATGCGGGCAGAGATTCCAACGAACACAAGGCCGTCAACTGTTAGAAAAAGGCGTGGTATTATGACTAGACTATTACGCAATGTAGTCAAAAATGCGTGTTTACGGGATTTTCAAAATTAATATCTCTGAATAGGAAAAAAAGAGTAGCTCACCTATCAGGCGCATGTTCGTTTTGTTCGATGTAAGGGTCCGTATGGCATAGGAGCAGCTCCCTTATATAGTCGCAGACATGCATGGTCCATTAAGCAGATGAAGGTTGGTGGTGACCTTGTCTGGGGACGTTTTCTGAAAGGAAATTCGAAGCGGCCAATTCCCTCAATGCGTAGACTTCGCAAGTGACCTTCGTTTGATGCCATTAGGGGCTCCGGTAGCCGTTCCCTTGCCTGGTCTACATAATCTTCAGTCGACGGAGTTGGCTCTTGTGAAGGGATTTTCCTCTCTTCGATGGCTCCATTTTTCGAAGAGTGAGCAGATAGCCTGGCTTCTCATCGCAGGACTATTCACAACACTGAGAAAACGGTTTATTTTTTTGGTGAAGTAGAATATGGCCTCTGTTCTTTTCTCTTCTCCATCGGCTCCGTGCCTGCCTGCTCTTCTAACAATCGACTGCAATAGCTTATCTACCTCGACCATCTGGGCGGTGTCTTCAAATGTTTACTATATCCTATTTTTTTTACATATACTATATACTATAACTATACTATACTCTATTTCGGAAGACGAGAAGAGCGTCGAGTGCAGACCACACACCAAAAGTGACGACGGTCAAGAAAAGGAAAATAAAACGCCACTTTTTTGGCCGTCGTCGCTTGTGGTGTTGGTCTGCACTCGACGCTCTTCCCGTCTCCCAATATGGAGGGTATGTACGTAGCTAATAATTACCTACGAGCTTCCCAAGGGATTCGCAGTATCCACTTTGTCCTTACCTTATCCTTACTTGAAATCTTTCAAATGAGCAACTTTATCGTCGGAGCTCCTCAATATTTGCCCAGGCTTAGCAGACAGTGTTTGTTTTTTCATGAGTGCGAAAGTCACCTCTGGAGAGCGAAAAGTTGTCAGGAGTCACAGAGAGAACTGAAAATCGCCTGAGAATGAGAACGCACTAAATTTACGAGGAAATGATAAGCGAGGTGAATTTAGGGTGTCCGACGAAACGACCAGTTCTGACTAATAGATCTGTAGATCTGTGGAAGACACATGCAAGAAACGTAATCTGACTCCGATGGATGGTTTTGAACCCGCCTATGAGAAAAAGGTTTGAGTAGCTAGGGTGGTAAAACCGTTGGAAAATACAACTCAAAATGATATGGAGCTACCAGAACGTTTGAAATCAGGGTCATACCCAACCTAGAAAATCACATTTTTCCTTAATAAGAAAAAATTACGACAGGGGTCATAGAAGTTTTCAATCGGTCTCGACCAACATTTGACGTCTTCGAATTGCAGGTTCACCGACAGTCCGATGCCTTCGATTGAAGTCCAGCAACTAGGACCAATCTTGCTGACCTGAAACATTGGAAAATTGTGGACCTCGAGACTAGGCTCAACCAAAATGGTAAACTATTTGCTTCGAACTCCTGTGTAAAGACTTGTAGTCCAAATCCGACGCTGAACCATTCTGTAATTTATTCCAAGGCTTCGCACTGATTTTTGTATAATCTGGTTGGAATTATTTCGAATAAAGATTTATGTAGGGGTACCCCGCCCTTTTCGCGCACTCTGACCACTGCAGGATAATGCACTGACATGACAGCTGTACTGATCGTTCAATCGGCTTATTACAAAACTGATATTTCTAATGGTTCAGAAAATATTGCGGCTCATGATGTGGAGCAATTCGCTAACTGTCAAAAGTTTGTCTTCGAAGTGATGTTAGCCGCGTTTCTCCCGCCTTTTTTCCATGAATACCTTCTAACCAAGTGAACAAGTGGGTAATCAGAAAGGCTAACAAATAAAACCCCTGGTAGGATACGGTAGGACTGCCATTTGTCACTGTCAAGAAATTCCACGGATGAGATCGATCCCAGATTATAGGGTTAAGAAGGCATCATTCCATTCCTCCGTTGAAGCATCATACTACAACAGTATAGGCCCACGTTATGCCGCTATTCTTCCTTAGGTACCACTTTTTCCCATCGGGCACAATTCATGGAACACGGAACTTTCAGGATTTCTCTGAAAAAATAGACTTTCTAATCGGCTACAGCAAACCAATGGCGATGGCAAGCTAGGTGAATTGTTTAGTTTGTTGAGTAAACACTCGTTCATTCGCAGGAGGAGATCAGATGGCAATCATTAGCTGCTCTGTTCCATGCAGTGGGTAACTGACCTCCGTCGCTTTACCTGGCTTTCTTCGGACC